CTTTCCTCGTCTTCTATCTCATGTAGTATAGCGACAGATCAAGGTGTTTTCACGGGTTGTCAAGTTGCGATCATGGTGGGTGATATCATGGTCCCGAGCAATGTGACAGTTCGGGATAGCTTGTCTCACAAACCTGTCGTAGCCAGCATATCTCCTTCTCTAGGCCCATCAGAAGGTGGTGTGCAGATGGTCGTGAGCTTCATTCATCCCTTGTCATTCCATGAAGCCTGGTGTCTATGGTCACATTTCACTGTGATCGGCCGAAAAATTTCAAAGTCATCAATCAGCTGTGATTCTCCCCCTGGACCTCCTGGCAAGCAAAAGCTGCAGGTTCTTCTAGATGGGAATGCTTTACTTGACGAAGTCGAAATCTTGTTGTTGGACAGCTTTCTTCTTCGACAAGCCTCACACAGCAGAAGTATGATTTATGCTATAGCTACAGAACTCGATCAGCAACAAAATTGGACATGCATCGTTGATAATTCTGTTGTGCTCACCGCCAAAGCATTGAATAGATCACTTCTTATTTGTGCTTTGCCACAATTATTTCAAGGAGTTGACAGCAGGTATACAAACCCTTTCAAGCTGCGAATCGGTATCGAAAGTAGCTTGTTTCGTTCGAACGAGATATATTCAGTCGCTCTTACCAGTAGTACATCGATATTCAGAAGTTCTCCGATGGTGGGAAGAATACTGAATCCCACGCAGATTACAATCATGGGTATGGATTTTATAAGTGAAAATACGTACTTTGTCGTGTTTGATTCATCGTATTTTCACGCGCAGTATTTGAATTATTCTGCCATCTCTGCAACGATCATCTCTTCAAAACCACAGGAGGTGTTGCTGTCTTTGATTGGAAACGGAAGATTAATATCGACCCTTCCATTTCTCTTCTTTGACCATTTTGCAACTTCTGTGATTCCGTCACGAGGGCCAGTAGATGGTGGAACGCTGATATCCATTCAATTTGAAGGGCGCGATTCTTGCAATATTATTTCTAACATTCTGATCGCTGGAGTTTCATGCCCAATTGTATGTCAGGAGGGCATCATTCAATCTGTCACACCAAAGGTAAATCACCGTGGAATTCATAACATACACATTTCATTCCACTCTCATGGAAATCATGACACAGGTCACAAATTCGAATATCTCAAATCTTCTACGATTCAAGATATATCACCCCGTCTGAATGTTATGGGTGGAAAGCATTTGCTGACAATATTTGGAGAAAATTTTGATTGTAACCCTCTCCCTGTTTGTCGGATGGGGATGCATCAGATTGTTGCCAAAATTTGTACCGAAAGCGATGTACTATGTAGCATACCTGAGCTTGCACAAGGAAATTACAGTATTGGATTACTCTTTGCGAATGGCGATTCCACTATCAGCAAAATTCCAATGAACGTTATATCCTCCAGCACGTGGACCTTTGAACCATCCAAAGGACCATGGATTGGAGGCACAAAAGTCAGGATCAATTTTGTGGGATCGGTAGCTATGATCCAAGAATGTATGTTTGGAGATCAACAAGTACAAGCTGAGCATGGGCAATCGAACGTAGAATGCATCACTCCACCAAATCTTCCCGGCCTCGAAAAGCTTTCTGTTGTCTACAAGAACACCTCTTTCCCAAACTTGATTCTGGGTCAATTCTTATTTTCCGAGACCAATTATTCTGTCCAAGTCTTACAAATCAATCCATCTTTCGGCCGTCCAACTGGGAGATACGCGGTTTCTGTAGTTGGCTTGTACCTGTTTCACGACTTGGAGTGCAGATTTGGGAATCGTGTCAGGTCCACATTGATGAGCAGTTCTTTATTAGTGTGCATCGTTCCACCTTTGCAAGATTTGATCAAGTCTTTTCGCGTCACCCTAGAAATTGTATCACAGCAGACTGTTGCAATCGATTTGAATCAACAGCTCTATTTTGAATATCATTTAGATCCAAATTCCATCCTGGTTCCGTCAAGTTGTCATGCAAACGAATTACTTTCAATGGTTGTTACCAGGGATACATTTCAAATCTTCTCCAGCCTGTGGAGAAACATTACTTGCAGATTCGATGGATTCGCATCAAAACCCCAAGAACTGAGTTCAGATTCGTTTGGTTGTCGATGTCCTCCTAACGCCTCACAAAAAGTCCATTTCAATCTCCTTCACGATTCTCACATTTTCCCGGGGTTGGATTCATGGATCATTTCTGTACTTCAGATTGGCAAAGTTATCTCCGTGTATCCGCACACCATTCTGGAAGGAGAATCTACAAGCCTTACTGTACTTCTAAGCTCAAACCTTCATGATTCTGTTGTCTGTCTGATTGGGAATATCCGGGTCCCGGCACAGCTGCTGAATTCATCCTGTGTTGTATGCAATACAACCTTGTTTCCTGTCGGAAAATTCCGGGTAACTGTCATGGAATCAAATTTGTCCTTTCTTTCGACTTCATATCTAGCTGTTCACTCACAATTGCTGTTGAGAGACATACGTCCATCGAGAATTTACAATGATAGATCGTACATTCTAACTTTGATTGGTGAAGATATTTTAAGAATCCACAAGCTAAGCTTGGATGAAAAAGTTTTAAAGATAATTCAGAAGACTTCCAATATTTTAGAATGCTATTTGCCTGCTAACAAATTCATGGTTGGTTCCTTTGCTTTGACTTGGAGTGTTGATGGCAACATTTTCTTTACCAGCAATCACGCAATAAGCATTGACGCTGCGCCACGAATATACACAGTTTTCCCTTCTAGAGGTTTTGCGTATAAGGGTTTTCTAGTTGCATTGATCGGAGTATTATACGACTCGAAGCCCTTGAAATGCGTTTTTAGAAATCGAGATCAAAATACCATGACAGATGCACTAAGCTCGAATTCTACATCTGTTGAATGTATGGTCCCTGAACTGATTGCCGGAAATTATTCCATCATCATAAAAACCGCAGTCCTAGATATACCATGTCATCAAGCAATTGAGATACAGAACAAGATTAATCAATCAGATGATTCGAATACATTCCCAATCATGGCTGCCCAGCCCAACTACGACTCAATCAGTCGACACTTTTTGCCATCATGTACTCACATATGCACGTCTATTTACCCGCATGGCAATGTTCGAACTCAAATAAACATATCTGTCTCGGATTGGAATTCATCTACTGCCTTGTGCCGGTTTGGGGGCAATACCGATACTGTACGTTATGGAACTGTATTCAGCTCAACACTGGTACAGTGTCTCAGTCCTCCGAACGGACCTGGAGCTGTCTCTGCCTTTCTGAGCTCAGATGGGATACACTTCGTGGACACAGGTCATCGAGTGATCTATGTTCCCATGGCAACTGTGACAGCGGTGCTACCATCGTTTGGTCCTGTAGAAGGGGGGATAGATTTGTCGATCATGGGAAGTAACTTCATAGCGGAACTTGAAACGTGGTGCATATTTGGAGAGTCTAGAAGTCGTGGGAGGGTTGTCTCGGGAACACAGGTTGTTTGCAAGGCACCAAAGAACCAGCAAGGGAAAGTGAATGTATCGCTGGAGAACGGGATGGGTACTAATGTAAGCTCTCCAGTAGTGTTCTTGTACTCTACCAGACCTGTTATCCTCAGCGTGCATCCGAGTGCGCTTTCCGAGCAATCCTGTGGATCTTCGATTGTAACGATTCGCGGTAATTTCGCGGCAGGTGCTTGGGAGTGTCGATTTGGGCAACAAGTATCCTCAAGCACTGTACTGAGCAGCAGTCTAATCACTTGCATGTCACCCGGCTCCATGGCCGAAGGGATCGTCCCTGTAAGCGTAGCAAGGATAGGCGAGACATCCGTAGAGTCGAATAAGGTTGACATTAGTATTTCTGCCAGACCGCGATTTGAATCGATTGAACCAAGCATCCTTGTAGCAGGGGCCAGTGCCACAGTAACTGTGTATGGCTCTGGATTTCAGAATTTGCAAGACCCTACCTTGTCGTTTCCAACTTTGAGGATACAGATTCCTGCTGATTCTATATCGATTTCTTCTTTCCAGTTCAGAGTTTCTCCCATCCAGGTCGATGGGGTATTTGAGGTTTTTGTTAGAGCTGCTTGTTATGAAACATCATTCTCTATTCAAAGTTACGTCGATCCAGTTACTTTTGGACCAGTCCAGGCATTCGATTCTCATTTTCACAATGTTCTCGTCTTTGAACTAAAGCGTTCAGTTGAGTCGGACGTGGTTTGCATGTTTGATTCTTTGTTTTTGTCGCAGGCAAATTGCTCACATTTGCTTTGTGCTTGTTTAGTCGAATTACAGCGTTGGTCGTTCCTAGAATTATTCCTGTATAAGTCATCCGTACCCCTATCTTACGACAAAAAAGCCATAGATAACAACTCTCGAAGTTTCTCTCAGAACTTTACAATACGTTTTTCAAGTGATTATGTGTCGATCAAGCTCCACAACACCTTATGGACGAGTATTTTCAAAGGTTGTTTTATAACTGATTGTCATAATATGCTCATTCAAGGGCATATGTCACATCAAGATGCACTGCAGTGCAAAATATTTCATTTTCCAACTGGAATATATGCAATACACGTCAATGTCACAGCTAGTCAAACAATGAATATAAAGCAAAACTTTCATGTCACAGCATCTCCAGCTCAATTCTTTTACTTGCATCCAACTCAAGTTCAATCTGGCTTGGGGACGACGATTACTGTCTTGGGTAAAAACTTTTACAACATACATCGTGCCAACTGCACACTGCTTCATGAAAATTTGCAACTACAATTGATTAGCAGTAGCTTGCTTCTGTGCCAAATGACACATCGAACCAAGTTTGGCACAAATGAAATGACGACAAACTTTTTATTTGTCAAGTGGACTCCAACGTTGACAACGAACACCAACCTCACTCTAGCCATTGTACCGGAGCAATATTTGTAAGATTTGAGCCTTCTTCTTCCATTCTTGGCCAAATTCTCTTGACAGTCGTCGGAACAAACTTTCGACCCAATCCCCAGATGTCGTGCATGGTGGGCGGTGATCTCCTGGGCGATACTCGCTACCAGTCTTCCACAAAGGTGCTTTGTCTGTTTCAAGGGATAAGAAGGATAGGCAACTTTACCTTGTTCTTAAGTGTTGGAGGCGGGCAATATCGACCTGTTCCCGGGTTGAGTTTGAATATCATTGCCGAGCCCACACCACAAACAGCAACGCCCAGTGTCGGACCAGCAGCCGGAGGCACCTTCGTGAGCTTTTCCACTGCAGAGACGATACCTGACATGCCTATGGAGTGTGAATTCGGTGAGCTTGGAGCAAGGACAGGAGCTATTCGGATAAGCGATCAACAGTTTGGATGTTTCTCCGCAGCCAAAGCAAGTAGTGCTCGAGTACGGGTATTTTTGTGGTTAGGTACTACTCGATCGAAAAGCAATGTATTCTTTCAATACTTGGAACGAGAAAGGGCAATGCTAGAGGCGGTACTTCCGTCCGTTGGCTCTATTCAAGGCGGGTTGTGGGTAGATATCGTCGGCAAGCACTTTGATATCCAACGTCCTGGGTGCCGATATGGGGCCCGAGAGTCTTTGATCTTGTGGGCGTCTTCCTCATTGATTCGCTGCAAGACGCTACCGAGCACTCCTGGTCCTGTATTTTGGCAAGTGAAAGGGACAGATGGGCAGCATGTCTCAGCTCTCAGAGCGTTCTATGTGCTCCAAACACCCGAGATAGACTCTATACAACCATCGTGGGCCGTCCAGGGTAATTCCAGCGCTGTTGTGACATTACGGGGAAGACACTTTGAGATGTCGCTCTATGTACAGATCAACGGGCTGGGCTGGCAGGTATGTGACATCTTGTCGACAGCCATGGGAACTTGCCGTCTGGTATTGAGCCTAGAGCCTCAGCTTGTGACCCTGCGGGTGAGCAACAACAAAAGAGAGTCTGGGATGAAGTGTAGCTCACCTTTTCAGATATTGGGAGAACCTCGGATCAACAAGCTGATCCCCTCGTCAGGACCAGTCAAGGGGGGAATGCAGCTAACCGTTGTTGGTGAACATCTTGGGGATCAAGCCGACGTCATGCTGGTGACGTGTGTCTTCGAAGACATCGGAATGAGCCAGGCGAGGGTACTGTCGTCTACGAGAGTAATCTGCGTCACACCAGCACACGACATTCCATCCATTGTGCAGGTACATGTAACATGTGGTGAGGATGGTCTGGTGGTCAGCGGATCTATGAACGTACAGTATACCTTGCAATGTACCGTCCAATCAACGGCCCAGCATGTTGAGAGTGAGACGGGATTGCACGTAATTCGTGTTGTTGGAGAGAACTTCATGCCGGATGCGGTATCATGCAGCATTGGACAGGACAACAGGTTGCTGCAGGCTGTATGGCTGACGTCGACCGTGTCTCTGTGCAAAGCGCGCGGAGACATCCCGAGGGCACAGTCTTTCACCTTCTACTGCGACAATCAATTGATCGATGCGAGGATTCTGGACGACGACTGGTCGGAAGTGCTCTTGCTCTCTTTGAGCCCCACCGTGGGTCGGGGGGGCGATGGAGCTTGGATCGAGTTGCGAGGAGTTTTCAGGACTGACATGAACGATGCCCGCTGCGTTTTCGGGCAGGGCAAGACATATGCAGAAGCTCGCTGGCTATCTACCTCCCGGGTGCAATGCGGTATCCCGGCACTTGCTTCAGGGAATGTAACAGTGTCGTTGTCTGTAGGGAGTAATGATATTATATCAAACTCTCTTCTATTCATCTCCTTAGATCAGATAAAGATCCAGAGACTACTACCAAGCCGAGGTTTGGTCGGTGTATACACGTTTGTCTCTGTCGTTGGATCTCTTGACCATATGGGTCTGCATTCGACGTGCAGATTTGGTTCTATGCACAGCAGTGCAGTGATGATCTCATCGTCGATGGCAGCGTGCAAGATCTCGAGCTCTTTTGCAAGGCGTGTCGAGCTGAAGCTGTGCATATCTGAACAAGATCAAGTATGCTCGAATGTTTTGCGCTTTGACTTCGAAGAAGCTTTTGCAGTGCTGAAAATTACTCCATCATCCGGTCCAACTCGTGGTGGAACCAAGATTACTTTGATCGGAAATCAGCTTGGAAGGAATACTACTTTCTGTAAATTTGGTCAATCTTCGGTCGGAAGGGCGACCATCACAATAGCAGCCAGTCTTGCTGTATGTGAGAGCCCTTCCATGCAAGCTGGACTGGTTCCATTGACGATAGTCCAGTCTGAGTACACTTTTGCTGCGCTGAACTCTAACGAGTTTGCATACCTCTACTGGCCCGAACCACAGGTGACGTCGATCGTGCCTAGTATTGCTTACCAAGAAATTTCTACGGTCATAACAATGAAAGGACAAGGCCTCGCTCCGCTTCTTGAAGCGGGCTGTGGGATTGGGGGAGCTGTGGCAAAGCTTTCACGGGAGAGCTCGGGCGATTATGTCTGTCGTGTACCTCAAGGTCTGGCTGTTGGACTTTACAGGATCACGTTCAACATCCACGGGCTTGAGCCTTTGTCGAGTGACCTTCAGCTCGCAGTAGAGCCCAGCACAAACATACTTGAGATCAGACCGACTTGCGGGCCTGCACGGGGCGGAACAACCATATCCATACGTATTAGGGGTGCATTGAGCGAGAAGGATCTTGGCTGTATGATAGGAGCACAGTGGACTGGATTGATCAAAGGGAGTAGACATGATGAATTTCGGTGTGTCGCGCCACCTTCAACAGTGATAGGAGAAGTGGCTATGAGGCTTGCATCGCGGGAATCAGTCAAGTACGATACTGCAGCATCAAGGCACTCTGGAAAAGAATGGACGTTCAAATTCTACGATGATGAGCAAGTCGATGCTGTCTTACCTGGAGAAGTGTTCTTGTCACCTGACCTTCATCTCACTGTGATCGGGCGAAACTTTGAGCAGAGCCACGACATTTCTTGTCTGTTCGCCGACAAGCATGTCAAGATGGCTACTTTGATAACATCGACGCAAGTTCTCTGTGATATACCGAGCTTGGAGGAGGGGAAGATGAGCTTGAAAGTCGCGAACAACGGAGTGGACTTCAGTCTATCAAGTCAGACCGTGCGACTCGAACCCCAGATTGAAGCTTTGTTGATCACTCCTTCGAAAGGGCCAATGGTGGGTGGGATAACGCTGACCGTTTTTCACTCACGTCTGATTCTTGCACGAAATGTCAGCTTTAAGTTCAGAGATCAGGTAGCACAGGGACAGAGCTTGCCAGGAAAATTTGTCTGTGTCGTCCCCACAGGATCCTCCCCAGGGAATGTATCCGTCCTAGTCATGTCTGATGCAAAGGAGAAGGTTATGGACTTCATGTTCCAGTATGAGGAGTTGGGAATAGTCAAGCTGGTCTACCCGACAATAGGTCCGACCGATGGTGGAAGCCTTGTCACGTTTGCTATCAGCAAGTTGCATGTGAAAGATGCGCTTGTTTGCTCATTTGAGGGTGAGATGGTGGATGCTAAGTTAGGGAAGAGCAGAGAAGAAGTAGTGTGTTACACGCCATCACATCAGGAAGGTACCGTCCGTTTAGAGCTGTACAAGGGCAGCTTGGCATTATCAGGACCTGGCATTGAATTCATGTTTGCTCCATTGTTTGTAGTCGAGGAGATCTTTCCGTCATCTGGCCCGACCCAGGGGAACAGCATAGCAACGATTGTAGGAAGAAATTTTCTGTCTGGAAAGGACCTGTATTGTCTTTTCTCTACGTCTGCAACTTTGAGCACGGTGGTGGATTCGAGGAAAATAGTGTGTCGGACTCCAGAATCTCCAGCAGGAACCATTTCTATGTCTGTGGGCCTTGACAGCCAGGTGTTTAGCAGGGGTTATTTGTTGTACGAGTTCTATACCCAAGTACAGCTCGATGCGATCATTCCAGAGGTCTGTTTGGCTGAGACGCCTTCGCGCATAACAATGCTTGGGGCAAACTTCGACGAGAAGGTGCTATGCGATGTAGGGGCTATCAGTGCTGTTGCAATGGAGTTGGTGGATGTATCTCGTGCTGTATTGGAGATCCCGGGGTTGCCTGCCGGGGAACATTCGATTCGATGCAGCAAAGTTGGAGGACATCTCTCAAACGTGAGAACTCTGCACTCTTGGGCATTTCCGTTGGACATCGTTATTGACCCAACGTCTTCAGCTGTTGGAGGGGGCACGGTCATAAGCGTCTTAGCAAGTACAGCTTTTCCAACGACGACTTGGAGATGCTTGTTCGGAAAAAGCCCTGTGGATGCTCAGATAGTCGACCATAAGACTTTGCAATGCACAGCGCCGCCCGCGCACGAGGCTGGATCAGTTGAGATGATGATAACCAGCACAGGAAGAAATTCTTTCAAATCGCCACGCTTTCCCTTCCTCTACATACCAACCGATGCAGTCCACATGCTTGATTATCATCCATCGGAAGGACCTTGTTCGGGGGGGACGGTCATCCATTTCAGCACAAGTCATGGTATGGAAACTGTTGGATCGGTCCGGTGCGTATTCGGCGCGACAACTGTGGAAGGGTATAGTGACGCCAATACATCAAGGCTTGTCTGTGTTTCGCCACCAGGTAGGCCTGGTCTGATGCAGCTGAGGGTGATAAGTGTGGTGAAGGGCATGGTTGAGTGGGACTTGCTTTATTCGTACATGCCAAATCCCATCCTGAGCACAGTTTGGCCTTCATTGTTTGTGGTCGAAGGGCAGGCGACGGCCAGAGTGACTTTATCTGGAGAAAACTTCATGGATCGGGAGAGCTTGAGATGCATGTTTGGCAGGAAAGAAGGTATTCCATATTTTCATACCAGTACACACCTCGAATGCGCAATTGAAGGATTACAGCATGGAAATTTTTCTATGTACGTACGCAGTGACAACGGCCTGAGCGCGGAATCAGTCCAAGTCATAGTCACAAAACCTGTGAAGGTGGTGAAGGCTCAATGCCGACAACGAGCCAGAGGTCTTGAAAGATCATTCATTCGTTTGGTTGGCTCGGGGTTCTCATACGATAAGGTTGTCAGATGTGAACTTGACAGTCTTTATGTCCAAGCAGTCTTCGTGTCTGAGGATGTGATGCTCTGCCACTTCGATTCCTTGCGTTGCAGGAAAGTGTTCAACCTGTCCATAGAGGTGACGGAGGGGGACAATATATTCAAGATAGTGGCACAGCCTGAAATATTTGAAGAGCAAGGGGGCGCTCGAATTCATTCATGCGTACCAAGTCAGGGAAGTCTTGGTGGTGGGACCATTGTGACCGTGCGAGGAAAGAATCTCGTAGGAGGACAATCAGCATGTCGATTCGGGAGGCTCAGAACAGATTCCTTGGCCCAGGTGTCGAGCACAATGGTGTTGTGCGTGAGCCCAAAGCAGCTTGTCAGCTCTGATGTAGAGGTTGTCGTGCTTGGCGACGATGGGCTCTATTCAGATGCTGGGGTCACGTACTTGTACAGGCCGGTGGCAAGGATACACGGTGTATTCCCATCGAGCGTGCGGAGGGGGCTTTCGACACCCATAACAGTGCAAGGGGCAGATTTCGAGATGGAGTCTATGCTTTGCAGGCAAGACCGGAGAAAGGTAGTAGACTCGCGGATAGTATCCTCGTCGCTGATTGTCTGCACCATCACCCCGACCTCGAGTGAAGCAGTGAATGTGTCGGTCAGTGCCAACAGGCTTGAATGGTCCAATGACTTCTCCGTTGCAGTCGTGGACCAGCATCAAAGAAACCCAAATTCCCTTGTTCGAATTTCCGGTCTCTCCCCTTCGTTTGGGCAATACGGTGGAGGAACACAGGTTCAAATTTTTGGATCTGGTTTTTCAGCTGTTACACAGATTCGCTTTGGACAAGCTCAAGCTCAGTGTTTTTATCTCACAACTAGTTTCACTCTGTGCAATACCCCGCCATCAAAGAGTCCAGGCCTTGTCAATGTCTTCATTGTGTCAGATGTCCCATCGAGGAACGGCAGCTCCACTTGGTTTGAGTACATCGCTGAAGCTCAAGTGTTGCATGCTTATCCCAGCTCAGGGACGTCAGATGGAGGAACGACGGTGACTGTAGTAGGACGAGGTTTTGAAAGAGGCTACCAGCCGATCTGCAAGTTTGGCGAACGCACGGTAGAAGGTACATTTCAATCAAGCACACAGGCAGTTTGTACAAGCCCAGTCCACGTTGCGGGGAATGTGTCGTTGTCATTGTCCGTGAACGGGGCAGACTACACGAGGACAGTTTGTAACTATCAATATGTAAGCGGGGTGACGATAGTATCGATACAACCCAGCGCGGGATCTGTGAATGGTGGGGACTCGATCACGGTGCAAGGTACGGGTTTTTTTTCAGGACTTTCATGCAAATTCGATTCAAGCTCATCTTCAGACACATCGTTCAAGAGCTCGTTCATGATCATATGTGTTTCTCCCTTCTTCGAGAGGAGCTTTCTTGCTGAGCTTAGCCTCTGGTCCTCGGGTCAGCGTTACACTTCTGGTCAGCAGATTTCATTTCAATACTTGTCCGTCCCTCGCATATATAGCGTAAACCCGTCGTCGCTGACCACATCCGGAATTTCATCAGTTACAGTGGTAGGGGTAGATTTGTTGGAGGGCGATTTCTGTATTTTCTCACATGAGCCGTCATCGTCGATGCCGGGCGCTTTGTTGAATGGACAACTGCTCTGTAAGGTGGCTATGCCGCGGATTTTATCTTCAGAAACAGCATTCATAGAGGTAGCTCGGAAAGCAAATGCCGACTTGCGATCGAACAAGATCCCGATTGTCTTGAGGCAATCGATCGAAATAAGTGCTCTCATCCCCAAAGTCTTTGAATCAGGGGATACAAGCATATTGACGATAATTGGAGAAGGGTTTTCTGCAAACCCTCCTATGTGCCTGCAGATTGCCAGCCTGCAGTATGTTGTGGAAGCTCCGTCTTCAAGCATGCTTCTGTGCGAACTGACAACACAAGAGATAGGCATAGGATCGCACGTAATTGCTCTTTGCCCAGACTCAGGCTATGACCTGAAATCCGCCAACGCATCGATCGAGATCGTGAGTCGGGTTGTTCTGGAGCGAGTTACCCCAAGTGTTGGACCTCGAATGGGATCGACCGCGGTCACCATCTGGGGTAACTCTTTCCACGAAGAGACAGAGTATTTTTGCAAAGTTCGAGATGGTGTTGCTCAAGCGATGGTGATGAATTCTACAACCATAATGTGCACGATTCCAGAAATCCAAGACGGTGATGGACTTGTTCATATTTGCGTGCACACCAAAAGGCTTTCGAACGATACCAGGAAGTCAACAGATTGTGTGCAATATCTTTTGATGCCGCCGCACAGGTTGGAAGGCATTGTTCCTTCTCTGATCAAGAAGAGCAAAGGCAAATCGATCTTTGTGAGTGGTGAGGGTTTCGTTGGAATCAATCAATACACCTGCTTGTTTGGATCCGACATACGTACTTCGGCGCAGTATCTGACGTCAAGGGTTTTAAGATGTCCCATCATCGACCGACTTGAAGGGAAATACTTGATATCAATTTACTACGGGGCTCTGTCTGCAGCGTTGAATGGGTTTCTAGCCGAGTTTGGAGGCAGAGATCAGGTGACAAGAGTGTCTCCTAGTCATGGGCATGCAAGTTCCAAAAATACTGTGACGGTACATGGCTGGGGGTTTTCAGGGTTTGACACTTTGTTCTGTCGCATTTCGCACACCTTCACATATCCTGCCCGACAGATATCAGATAAGGAAATCGTATGTGACATAGCCGCACCTAGCCTGCACGGGGTGGTGGGACTTGATGTCACATGGAGGGGCTTATCGCTGGTAAATGAACCGCTCACGTTTGAGTTTCTGACGCGAGAGGTTACGATTTTCCGTGTCGTGCCATCCATCTGTCATAGAGCAGGAACAGCCTTGACAGTTTTTGGTCTGAATTTTCGAGATTTGGATCATCTGTACATTCAAGTCTCCGATGCCAAGTATGAGGCTACAATCCTCTCGAGCAGTATGGCGGCAACCCAGATACGATCATTCCCTATCGGTATGCACTATGTCTCCGTGGGGAATATGCAGGGAAATCAGCCGACTGAGCACAGCAACCAGCTGCCTTTTGCGAGGGTACACCCTCCCAGACTTTATGAGGTGGTACCATCGACAGGCCCAGTCACGGGAGATACTTTGATAACCTTGATAGGAGAGAACTTGGGACACTCGTACAGGAATACTTACATCTGGGTATTTGGAAAGCATGAAACGACATGTTCTGCACAGACGACAACTACTCTTTTGTGCAATACCCCGCCATCAAAGAGTCCAGGCCTTGTCAATGTCTTCATTGTGTCAGATGTCCCATCGAGGAACGGCAGCTCCACTTGGTTTGAGTACATCGCTGAAGCTCAAGTGTTGCATGCTTATCCCAGCTCAGGGACGTCAGATGGAGGAACGACGGTGACTGTAGTAGGACGAGGTTTTGAAAGAGGCTACCAGCCGATCTGCAAGTTTGGCGAACGCACGGTAGAAGGTACATTTCAATCAAGCACACAGGCAGTTTGTACAAGCCCAGTCCACGTTGCGGGGAATGTGTCGTTGTCATTGTCCGTGAACGGGGCAGACTACACGAGGACAGTTTGTAACTATCAATATGTAAGCGGGGTGACGATAGTATCGATACAACCCAGCGCGGGATCTGTGAATGGTGGGGACTCGATCACGGTGCTAGGGAATGGTTTGCTGCTTGTTGATCAGTTATTCATTGCTTCTTCAATCATCAATGATTTTGTTCTCCACAACGATTCTTTGATTTCATTTTTACTCCCCTCGAACAATGACGGTACGTACAAGCTTTGTTGCACTCACCAAGGATTTTCTTCCTGCAGGTTTTTCTTGTTTGTTCATAGAGATATTTCAATGCAATACTTTTACGTTTCATCGACTTCATGGAAGATTCAATTCATAGGAAATCAGTTTGGGGAAGATTTGCGTTGTTTTTTTTCCAATCAAAGTTTTGTTGTGCTGTCTGTGTCATCCACCAAGGTTCAATGCACGGTCGGGTATTTCATTACCACGCAACCAACTAAAGTGTTTCTATTGGACACGACGGGTGCACGCATATCTGAAGAAATCCTATTCGATCCTCCTTCATTGAAGGTCCATTCCCTCCTTTACAACCCTTCGATAAGCCCTCGCTTGACGATTGTTGGACAGAGCTTTGATGAACGAATGAACTACATATGTAACTGTCATGGCAGATACTCTACTATACCTGTTAATGCGATATTCTTGTCCCAGCAGTTTGTTTCTTGTCCGTTTTCAATTGCCTTTCAGAACAACACTTGTATGGTGGTCTTGTCAGTCAACAATTTGTACTACTTCGAATGTGGAGCCTTGTCACCCAGGATTCCGTCTATCTTCATAGATGTTAACCCAAGTCAAAGCCCTTCACATGGAGGGATGGTCATCGCAATTGTTGGTGGTGAATTCAATAAACATGGTGATTTGAGGTGCCAATTCGACCAAAAACAAGTAGAAGTGTCCTGGCAATCCTCTACATCTTTGTCCTGTGTGACACCCAGTATGATCGAAGGCATAATTCGTTTGACAGTCAAAGACTTGGCACAAAATGTCTCGTCAAATAGCGTGGAATTCAAGTCTATCAGTCCATTCCAATTTCTTTCTGTACATCCGACAGGACTGTTTTTGAACAGTCACAACGCCGTCACAATCTTTGGATCATCATTTTCATCAGCTCTATATTGCCGAGTCCAGGACAAGAGCTCAATCATCAAGATTTTGACCTCAACCGTGTTGAGGTGTGAGCTAAAAATGCACCATTATGCAGGGTTGGGGTATGACAGCCTTCTGAAAATACAAGTTTTCATTTCTCACAACTTTACTTCCATCTCAGTTTTCAATTCATCTGTTCAGGTTTCACACAGAGTTGCTGAAGTTGTTGTGTATCCAGAGAATATTTTGCTTAATTCAAATGCAGAGTTGCATCTTGTAAGTGAAATCTTCACCATTGACACACTCCAGAAAGTTTTGATCGGAAATTTACAAGCAAATGCTCTAAAACAGCTCAATACGAAGGAATTCGTCTGTAAATTGCCTGCGCATGAAAAGCCAGGAAATCACACCATAACGCTGCTTCTGAAGAATTCTGGACCGTTTTTGTTGAATAAGACGTTGCATATTGTGCATCCATTTAAATGTCATTTGGACAGTACTGCAGGGCCAGGGGACGGAGGAGCCCTTGTAACTGTCACGTTCAACATGACTTTGAGCTGGATTTCACCTTCCTGCCATTTCGGCGAACTCGTCGTGTTCCCCACGTCTCTTTCAGTGAACCATGTCACATGCATCTCACCATATCACAAGGAAGGTATAGTTCCCTTTGTTTTGAAATCTGAAAACCAATCAGTACCTTTGTGTGATAACGTATACAAATTTGTGACTGTTCCACAGCTTGTCGCTGTGGTTCCCTCTGTTGGCCCATCCTCTGGAGGTATCTTGTTAGAGCTTCAGGTATCAGGCCGTATGTTGAATGGGACTTGCCGATGTGTTTTTGGCTCGGGCTCGGATAGTTCTCCAGTCAACATTTTGCAACAGAAACACGTCTGCACCCTTCCACGTCTCATTCCTGGGCAATCAAATCTTTCATTGCGCTGGGATGGGTGGAATTTGTCGAGTAATCGTAAAGATTTTCTTGTCCACAGCAACCTGACAATCATTCAAGTAATCCCCACTTCTGGTCCAACAACAGGCAACTTTTATGTAACCCTTCACGTTGATACAAATCTTGCATCATATCTAAATATCAGCTGCTTGTTTGGGAGACTTCTCACTCAGTCAAAAATTTTGTCAAACAATTCTCTGCAGTGTCTGGCTCCGCAATATTCATCGGGCAATCTATTGGTGAAGATTCTTTCAGGTCAAAGGGTGATTTCGCTGAATGCTCTATGGTTTGAATATGTAAATGTTTCATATCAGATTCAGTTGAACCCAACATGCGGTCCTATCTCGGGTGGAACACGCATTGTACTTACGCTCAACGATCTAAGTCCTACAGTATGCTTCTTTGGAAACCAAAACGTAACTGTGATGATTGATGACCACAAAACTGTATGCATCAGCCCTCCTGGAGTTGCATTCGGAAATGTAACATTTTCTCTGGATGTTGGGTTAATCAAAAAGAACTTTTCTTACCAGCAAGATATTGAGCTTTATGCTGTGCTGCCAACAGTAGCATCACGAAGACAACATACTGTGATCACCATATTTGGGTCTGAATTCTCAAACCTTGAAAGCCTCCTTTGCAAAATTGGTCAAGATCATTTGACTAAAGCAATATATCAATCCTCTACAAAGCTCTTGTGTGCAATCACAAATTTTGAAAGACAAAATGTCCTAATCCATGTGGTGGGTCCTTGCAACGTCATCAGCCGGAATGGACTATGGATTCAATATTTGTCTACACCAGAGATTTTCAGCATACATCCGACACTTCTAGTTCAAACTAAAGTCGATTCGCTCACTGTTTTTGGAAATCATTTTCAGTCATGCAACCATATGATATTGCAAATAGGAACGAAACAGTCAAATTCATGTACTTTTGTATCTCGCCAAGAACTCCTCTTTCAAATATCCTTCGAAAAGCATGGAAATCACAGTGTATCATTCCAATTCGGAGCTTACATGATCGGACCAGCCTTGATGGTACAAGTTGTAGAAACAAATCCTTGCATACGTTCAGCGCAGCTGACATTCATTCCTGAGACTAGCTCAGCGAGGATACTTGTGAGGGGAACAAATTTTTTGTTCCATCCGTCTTTATATTGCCAGATAGTCCAACGCATTGTCCCCATTCAATTCATCGACGACACGACTCTCATCTGCATGGCAAGCTGTATGATCGTTGACACCAATGATCTACCTGTCTCTATTCTGCTCGAGCACCAACGGATTTCGAACATTTTTCACATCCCTCTTGTTTCATGGACACAAGGAAAATTTATCGTAGATATACAGCCTCCTACAGCATTTGTTGAGGATGAAACCATCATACAAATTACAACCGCTGGTTTCATGCAGACTGGGTTGAAGTATTTTTGTCGAATAGACGAGCAATTTCAAACTTCTGTTGTGATAGGTAGTAATTCGTTGTTATGTGTAATTCCTGGTGGGCCATTTGGAGTAGTTCCGCTCCAGGTATATTCATCGGCGAATTGCCGAAGCGAGATGAGTTTGACTGTTTTCCGAGTGCATTTTCCACTTCTTGACAGCTTATCACCCACGGCAAGTCTGGCTTTTCAACCAATATCATTTACATTGTCAGGCAGACATTTTCACGGCGATGTCATCCTTTCTCTCGGAAAATTCGAATGTGTCAAATCGTATGTCTCTTACAAGCAAGTAATCTGCACAGTTGAACACTTTATTTCTCCCGGGAAATTTCGATTCCAAATCGGATACAAAGGGCATATCCGTGTTCAAGATATTGAAGTACTGATTGAAAACAAATCCTTTGAAATTGTAGTGCATCCAAGTATGGGACCATTGTCGGGTGGAACACAAGTACGAATCGTAATGATGAACGCACCACAGGGGAGATTTGCTTGCCTATTTGGAGAAAAGGTGGCAGCTGCTCAGACAGGATCTAATTCCGTGATAACGTGCATTTCACCTCCTAGTCCCTCGGAGGGATCCGTCACATTGTCGATCATAAGTGATGTCACAATTTTAGAAACAAACCATTGCAAATTCAGGTATTTCAAACATTTTCAGCTGCACCATGTCTACCCTTCAGTCGGTTACCCGAATACTAGGCCTGTCCTAACCTTAATTGGCAAACATTTGATTGCGGACGATTCGTTGAATTGCATATTTGATTCGCATACCATCCGAGCCACATACTTGTCTTCATCCGCAGTGACATGCTCTGCTCCAAACTTAACACTTTTCGAAGACACGAGCTTTGCAATCAGATTGAGCGTTGCGCATGAGTACGAATCCAACGAAGTACAGTTCAATATTTTAGAGTCCATTCATTTACTCTCTGTGGAACCTCTACAAGGGAGTCCAGGGATAGAAGTGTCGGTACGGGGTTTAAATTTTCCTCTCTTTTGGCCTGTTGATTGCGTGTTTGGCATGAATTCTCGACCACCCAAATCATACACGTCTACCTTGATTCTTTGCGTTGCACCTGCATTGAAAAATTCAAATGTCACCTTCATGCTTTCTTTTGACAGTCAAGACCTGCTGCAAACAAAATTTGCATTCTTGCTGCTTGGAAATCTGAGCATAGTAAGTCTTTTTCCGTCAGAAGGTTGCATTTCGGGTGCGAGGAATGTTACCATTCAATTTGATGGCTTCATAGGTGGAGAGCAATTCTACTGTAATTTTGACGGAACCACGTCCAAGCTATATCTTCTCAATAGTTCTTTTGGAAACTGTATGATTCCATCACAGTCCGAAGGCACAGTAGAAGTAGACTTGTTATCCAAACACCGCAAAAGCGTCAATTCCGTGAAATATCGCTTTACCAAGGCAGCGCTGGTCTTTTCGATTGCTCCGTCCTCTAGATTACTTCTGGAGAGGTCTATCATTACAGTGATAGGAACAAACTTCGACTGGTCAAGCCACTACAATTGCCATTTTGGCTCTGTTGTGACGCTTTCTACGTTTCAAACATCAAGTGTCATTTTTTGTCAATCTCCAGAGGGAATATCAGGAATAGCTACAATATCACTTGAACTTGGCGGATCAATTCTCTTTACTC